TCTAATACTATATTGAATAGCAGTGGAGAGAGAGAGCATCCTTGTCTGGTGCCACATTTCAAGGGGAATGCTTCCAGTTTTTGCCCATTCAGTATGATATTGGCTGTTGGTTTGTCATAAATAGCTTTTATTATTTTGAGATACGTTCCATCGATACCTAGCTTATTGAGTGTTTTTAGCATAAAGGGCTGTTGAATTTTGTCAAAGGCCTTCTCTGCATCAATTGAGATAATCATGTGGTTTTTGTCTTTGGTTCTGTTTATGTGGTGAATTACATTTATAGACTTGCGTATGTTGAACCAGCCTTGCATCCCCAGGATGAAGCCTACTTGATCATGGTGGATAAGCTTTTTGATGTGCTGTTGCAATCGGCTTGTCAGTATTTTATTGAAGATTTTTGCATCTATGTTCATCATGGATATTGGCCTGAAGTTTTCTTTTCTTGTTGAGTCTCTGCCAGGTTTTGGAATCAGGATGATGTTGGTGTCATAAAATGATTTGGGAAGAATTCCCTCTTTTTGTATTGTTTGGAATAGTTTCAGAAGGAATGGTACCAGCTCCTCTTTGTATGTCTGGTAGAATTTGGCTGTGAACCCGCCTGGACTTCGGCTTTTTTTGGGTAGTAGGCTCTTAATTGCTGCCTCAACTTCAGACCTTGTTATGGGTCTGTTCAGGGTTTTGGCTTCTTCCTGGTTTAGGCTTGGGAGGAGGCAAGTGTCCAGGAATTTATCCATTTCTTCTAGGTTTATTAGTTTATGTGCGTAGAGTTGTTTGTAATAATCTCTGATGATGGTTTGAATTTCTGTGGAATCTGTGGTGATATCCCCTTTATCATTTTTTATTGCATCAATTTGGTTATTCTCTCTTTTCTTTTTTATTAATCTGGCTAGTGGTCTGTCTATTTTGTTGATCTTTTCAGAAAACAGCTCCTGGATTTATTGATTTTTTGAAGGGTCTTTTTGTGTCTCTATCTCCTTCAGTTCTGTTCTGATCTTAGCTATTTCTCGGCTTCTGCTAGACATTGAGGTTTTTTGATCTTGCTCCTCTAGCTCTTTCAGCTTTGACGATAGGGTGTCAATTTTTGATCTCTCCTTGCTTCTCATGTGGGCACTTATTGCTATATATTTTCCTCTAGAGACTGCTTTAAATGTGTCCCAGAGATTCTGGTATGTTGTGTCTTCATTCTCTTTGGTTTCGAAGAACATCTTTATTTCTGTCTTCATTTCATTGTTTATCCAGTCACCATTCAAGAGCAAGTTGTTCAGTTTCCATGAAGCTGTGCGGTTCTGGGTTAGTTTTTGAATTCTGAGTTCTAACTTGATTGAACTGTGGTCTGAGAGACTGTTTGTTATGATTTCCATTCTTTTGCATTTGCTGAGGGGTGATTTACTCCCAATTATGTGGTCAATTTTAGAGTAGGTGTGATGTGGTGCTGAGAAGAATGTATATTCTGTGGATTTGGGGTGGAGAGTTCTGTAAATGTCTATTAGGTTTGCTTGGTCCAGGTCTGAGTTCAAGTCCTGGATATCCTTGTTAATTTTCTGTCTGGTTGATCTGTCTAATATTGACAATGGGGTGTTAAAGTCTTCCACTATTATTGTGTGGGAGTCTAAGTCTCTTTGTAAGTCATTAAGAACTTGCCTTATGTATCTGGGTGCTCCTGTATTGGGTGCATATATGTTTAGGATCGTTAGCTCTTCTTGTTGCATTGATCCTTTTACCATTATGTAATGTCCCTGTTTGTCTCTTATGATCTTTGTTGCTTTAAAGTCTAATTTATCAGAGATGAGAATTGCAACTCCTGCTTTTTTTTGCTCTCCATTTGCTTGGTAAATCTTCCTCCATCCCTTTATTTTGAGCCTTTGTGTATCCTTGCATGTGAGATGGGTTTCCTGGATACAGCACACCGATGGGTTTTGTCTTTTTATCCAATTTGCCAGTCTGTGTCTTTTGATTGGGGCATTTAGTCCATTTACATTTAGGGTTAATATTGTTATGTGTGAATTTGATACTGCCATTTTGGTGCTAGCTGGCTGTTTTGCCCTTTAGTTGAGCTGGTACTTGTTGTTCCTTTATATGTGTAGAGCCTCTTTCAGGAGCTCTTGTAGAGCTGGCCTGGTGGTGACGAAATCTCTGAGTACTTGCATGTTCCCAAAGTATTTTATTTTTCCTTCACTTATGAAGCTTAGTTTGGCTGGATAGGAGATTCTGGGTTGAAAGTTCTTTTCTTTAAGGATGTTGAATATTGGCCCCCACTCTCTTCTGGCTTGTAGGGTTTCTGCTGAGAGATCTGCTGTGAGTCTGATGGGCTTCCCTTTGTGGATAACCCGATCTTTCTCTCTGGCTGCCCTTAGTATTTTCTCCTTCATTTCAACCCTGGTGAATCTGACGATTATGTGCCTTGGGGTTGCTCTTCTTGACGAATATCTTTGTGGTGTTCTCTGTATTTCCTGGACTTGAATGTTTGCCTGCCTTGCTAGGCTGGGGAAGTTTTCCTGGATAATATCCTGAAGAGTATTTTCCAGCTTGGATTCATTCTCTTCGTCGCATTCAGGTACGCCTATCAAACGTAGATTAGGTCTTTTCATATAGTCCCACATTTCTTGGAGATTTTGTTCATTCCTTTTTACCCTTTTTTCTCTAATCATGTCTTCCCATTTTATTTCATTGAGTTGATCTTCGACCTCTGATATCCTTTCTTCTGCTTGGTCAATTCGGCTGTTGATACTTGTGCATGCTTCACGAAGTTCTCGTGTTGTGTTTTTCAGCTCCATCAATTCACTTATATTCCTTTCTATTTTGTCCATTCTCATTAGCATTTCGTCAAATCTTTTTTCAAGGTTCTTAGTTTCTTTGCATTGGGTTAGAACATGTTCTTTAAGTTCACAGAAGTTTCTTACTACCCACCTTCTGATGTCTGACTCTGTCATTTCATCACACTTGTTCTCCCTCTAACCTTGTTCCCTTGCTGGTGAGGAGTTGTGATCCCTTGTAGGAGGAGAGGTGTTCTGGTTTTGGTTGTTTTCATCCTTTCTGCGCTGGTTTCTTCCCATCTTTAAAGATTTATCCACCTGTCGACTTTGTAGTTGCTGGCTTTCAGACTGGGTCTCAAATCTTTCAGATTGACGTTCTGTTTGTTGATGATAAGGTTATTTCTGTTTCTTGGTTTTCCTTCTGACAGCCTGACCCCCCTGCTATAGGTCTGCTGAGGTTCACTCCAGGCCCTGCTTGCCAGGGTTCACCTGCAGCAGCTTCTGAACAGTAAGGGTTGTTACCAGTTTTCTCCTTCTGCTATCTTTGTCCCAGAAGGATGCCCGCCTGGTGTCAATCTGATCTCTCCTTTATGAGGTGGCTCTTTGGATATATAGGGGTCAGGGAGCTGCTTGAGGAGACGGTCTCTTCTTTATAGGAGCTCAAATGGTGAGCCGTGAGCTCTGTTGTTCATTCAGGGCTGCTTGGCAGGTACGTTTAGGTCTGCTGTAGCAGAACTCATAAACTGCTTTTTGTTCCCAGGTGCTCTGTCCCAGGGATTTAGGGCTTTATGAGTTTCGGTTATGCTGCTGCCTTCTCTTTTTTTTTTTTTTTTTTTTCCTTCAGAGCTGCTCTGCCCAGCAAGGTGGCAGCCTAGTCACTGTCTGCCTGTAGAGGCTTTGCTGAGCTGCTGTGGGCTCCGCCCAGCTGCCGAGTGAACTTCCCTGCTGTCCTGTTTATATGGGCATAGTCAGAACTGCTTTGGCGATGGTGGCCCACCTCTGTTGAGGCGGAGTCTCTCTGCAGTGGCGGGTTGCCTTGGCAATGGCAGGCTGCCTCAGCAATGGTGGGTTGCCTTGGCAATGGCGGGCTGCCTCAGCATTGGCTGACTACTTCTGTAGTGGCGGGCTGCCTCAGTAATGGTGGATACCCCTCCCCCACAGAGCTGGACCATCCCGGGTTCGGCTGCGCTTGCTGTGAAACTCTCAATCCAGAGTTTCTGGTTGCTGTTATTTTGTGGGGGTGGGACCAGCTGAGCCTGATCACCTGGCTCCCTGCCTCAGAGCTTTTTTTAAGTTTGTGTTCCAGTCGCCTGTTGAAGAGGTGCCAGGGTCTGTTTGTTTTTCCCTGTGGCCACTCACTGCGCTGGCTTAAACAGCGGCACTGAGGTTTGTGGCATTTTTTATTTTTCCCCTGGAATCTACTGTCCTGGTTCTCTGATCAGTCCCCTTTTCAAAGAGACGAATGGGTGACTTCCCGTGGCTCCAATCACCAGCCAAAAGGGCACCCGGACCAGTGTATTTTGTACGGAGAACCGCTGCTCCGGGGCGCCGACAAAGCAGCCACGCGGGGCAAAGCAGCGGCACTGGCCGGCACAGCCGCGCTGGCCAAAACAGCCGCGCTGGTGACCCGTGGAGCTCCTCCGCCTGGGAATTTCCTAGTCTGTGGGCAATAAAAATGTGGCATCCACTCACCCTCTGCGCTTTCACTGGAAGCTGCAACCCTGAGCTGTTCCTAAACGGCCATCTTGCTCTCCTCCCCAAGTCACATGTTTTTAATTGGTAGCTGAAATAATATGATAGACGGGTTCTATAAAAATAAAACTAAGGTTATTGTTCTTTTGTATGCTTTAGACAAACAAATGTAATTCATCATAAAAATAAGTTTCTCTTAGAAGGAACAAAAAAGTAATCTGTTGAAAATGTTAGATAGCTTTCTGAAAGAAAAAAATGGCAAAAACCAAAGATCTTGAATTTATTTCTAACTTGCTCAACAGTATTTACTACCAACAAAACAAATTTTAGTTCAGGGTAATTCTTTTCTTATTCCACATCAAATAGTTAAATATCACATTTTAAGATCTTTATTCTCATATCTTTTCTATCTGTTGCATCAAGACTGTTCTTGCCCTGATCAATCAGATGAAAATCAATAATACTGAAATCGAAGTCTTTGAATGTCACATGCTAATTTGAAGTTCTGTGCAAACCTAAAGCTAGTGTGTAATACATTCATTCTTTTCCTCTTAGGCATTTATGTCCATGTTCCAGATCCTCACCCAGGAAGGATGGGTGGACGTAATGGACCAAACTCTAAATGCTGTGGGACATATGTGGGCACCTGTGGTTGCCATCTATTTCATTCTCTATCATCTCTTTGCCACTCTGGTGAGTTTAGCATTTCTTTTCAGTTATATCTTGGAATTTATAATGGGATGAGCATCAACAGATATTTGACCTATTGTCAATTTCAAAATGAGCACCAAAGGACAAATGCAGAGTAGTCTGGCTTGGTGAGAGCCCTCCTTTCATTCTAAGTTTCTACACATCAAAGCACTGCTCTATTTGTTAAGTTGGAAATTTTCTCCATCAGGTACCAGTGTTTGCAAGAGGGAAACAAGACAGAACAAAATGAAAATCTCACATTTACATACAAATTTAAGTATCCCCAAGCATTCACACCTAGATGATCTCAGGATCAAACCAGAACTACATTATTATTTTTTTAATCATGTAGAGACACTGTCTTCATTTCACCACATCCTCTTCACAGCTGTAATTAAACTGAAGACAGAAGCTGTGGACCTCAGGGTGCAGTCAGTTAATTAGAAATCAGCACGGTGTTTATGTGCTATATGGGACTGGAAGAAACACATGAAAAAAATAAATAAATAAAACACATCACTGCAAATTTTGTAAAAGCACAAAACTGAATACCAAAGTCCAGTAAGAACCGACTTCTGTCACACCAGCAGATTTTTCTCTTCAGTGTACTTCCATTAAAAACAAAGAAAACATGTGATGAAATGCAGCCTATGACTTACTAAGGATTGTAATACCAAATGCACATCTCTACATAATAAATGTGTTCATATTCAAGAAGCAAACCTAACTTCTAATATGATGTTAGAAGTTCCAAGTTGTGGACTCAAATGTTACCCTTTATCAGGAACACAAGAAATAAAAACAACTACTACTATTATTTTTGGCAATATGTCTTACAGTTACAAAATATCTTAAGATATTATTGCTAATCTTTGGAACACCCAATTAGACAATATTCCCAGTTAACAGATGATAAAACTGAGGTTCAGAAGAGTTTAGTAGTTTGTCCGATGTCACATGGAATGTAAATGTCACCAGAGTGTTCCCAGGTCTGTCTGATCTAGATTTGGCCTTTAGTCTTGCAATTATTTATTACTGCTTTCCTGGATAATGAAGTTTAAAGTTGCCTGAAAGATGTCTTTGTCAAGTCAAACTTCTGCCAAAGAATCGCTAACATAAAACAAATTACATATAATCTCTAAGTTTATAGTTTCAATTCTAAATATCTATGAATAAAATAAGTCCTTGAGAAACCAGATATAACTTAGAAGTTGTGTTTGCTGTAGACAGAGGCTTTCAAAACTAAGACATGTTCACCAAAAAGTGTATGAGAATTCATTGTTATGTGGTGTGAAGTCATGGGCTCGAACAGTAGAACCACTTAGACATAATTTTGGCCCTTTTTTCTTTTTTTTTCCTGGAGTTGACTTTTAAAACATGCACAAAAGACAGGAACATCCTACAGTAGGAATGGAAGCCTGGCTTGCAGAGCCAAATCTGGCTATCCTGGTGTTTGTACAACACAGCCCTGGGGTCTTTGCATCTTCCCTTCCAGGACCTTGAAGCCTGTGCCGTTTATTCATTCATGCATTCATTTACTCATTACTCATGCATTCAACTAAGTTTATTAAGCACTACGTGTTTAAGTTACTCTAAAACTATGGAATTTCTCAGAGACTACTGATTTGGAGTTAAATGCAGGATAGGTTTGATTGAAATCATCTATGTCAGGGAGTATCAATCTAATTGTTTTCTAGTAATCAACCTAATTGTTTTCCTAATAAAACAACATAATGCTTTACTTTCCTCATTAAAGGTGTTTCACACTCAGATATATGTTTGATTCTTAGACACACAAAATATGAAAACTGGATGGAAAAACTATGTAGCCTATTAAATTATTTAGTAAAGTAATATTTTTTTTTCAAGTGAAAATTCTACTAGGGCCACTAATATAATAAAATATTAAAACTTGTATATAGCCTTCTTGGGCAATCTAAATCTTCTTTATGACCTAATATATGGCATTGGTTGTAAAACTCTTAAAGTTCATCCAAGGACTCCTGGGGTGCACCTGAGGCTTTAGGAATCCACAGAGCGCAAGATAAAAACCCATCTCTAATTCCACTCTTTCCATACACTGATTGAAGTATCTACCCAAAACATCTGTTCTAACTTTTTTTTATTGTGATTTTCAAAAAAAAAAAACAGTTCTAAGTTAAAACTAAAAATTGAAATAATTTGCTCTCTTATTCACATTTTTTTTATTAATTTGATTGCATTTTAGGTTTTGGGGTACATGTGTTAAAAGTTTGTAAAGCAATTGAGAATTCAGAAACCTATATGTTAATGAGAACAGTTTGGTAAATGTGGTGTCATATGAAACTACAAAATTGGAGTCCAAAAATCCAGATTCAGGTTCTAGCTCTCCTGGTGACTTGATATGTGATTTTGGAAGAATCAGATAACTTTCCTGATCTCTCTGTTGTGTTATACCAGAAAGTGAGGATAATAATTCACAATACACCTAGTTTCCAAGGTTGTCATGTATCTGTGAGTTAACCCTGTTTCTCTGAGGATGTTTTAGACCACCAAAACTGAGCCCTTTTAAGTGTAGATAAGACAGTATGTGCATTTAAAGCCATATATTAATAAATGTTAAAATTACATTATGTTCAAATATTTTTAATTTATAGAAGTAAAGTATTATTGATTAGGGTATCATTTATGCCCCTTCTGAACTGATTTCCACTCTTTCTTCTTTCTCTCCTTCCCTACACCTTTTCTCCCAGACAATGACTATGATAATTTTAATATAAATTTATTTTCCAATATTTAAAACATACTTCGCTAAATTTAACATTATATCATTTATAAGACTCAGTTTGTGTAATACTAAGGAGAAAAGCAAACTATACACATAGAGTATAAGGAGCATCCCTACTTCAGAGTTGTTGTTGTTTTTTATAACTTTTTTTTTTTGTACTTTTTCTTCTGGGGTACATGTGCAGATCATGCAGGATTGTTGCATAGGTACATACATGGCAATGTGGTTTGCTGCCCCCATCCCCCCATCACCTACATCTGGCATTTCTCCCCCATGTTATCCCTCCCCAACCTCCCCACTGTCCCTCCCTTGAACCCCTCAACAGACCCCAGTGTGTGATATTCCCCTCCCTGTGTCCATGTGTTCTCATTGTTCAACACCTGCCTATGAGTAAGAATATGTGGTGTTTGATTTTCTGTTCTTATGTCAGTTTGCTGAGAATGATGATTTCCAGATTCATCCATGTCCCTATAAAGGACACAAACTCATCATTTTTTATGGCTGCATAATATTCCATGGTGTATATGTGCCACATTTTCCTCGTCCAGTCTGTCATCGATGGGCATTTGGGTTGGTTCCAAGTCTTTGCTATTGTAAACAGTGCCACTATGAACATACATGCACATGTGTCTTTATAATAGTATGATTTATAATCTTTTGGGTATATACCCAGTAATGGGATTGCTAGGTCAAATGGAATTTCTATTTCTAGGTCCTTGAATAAACACCACACTGTCTTCCACAATTGTTGAACTAGTTTACACTCACACCAAAAGTGTAAAAGTGTTCCTATTTCTCCACATCCTTTCCAGCATCTGTTGTCTCCAGATTTTTTAATGATCACCATTCTAACTGGCATGAGGTGGTATCTCAATGTGGTTTTGATTTGCATTTCTCTGATGACCAGTGACGATGAGCATTTTTTCATATGTTTGTTGGCCTCATATATGTCTTCTTTTGAAAAATGTCTGTTCATATCCTTCACCCACTTTTGGATGGGTTTGTTTGTTTTTTTCTTGTAAATCTGTTTTAGTTGTAGATTCTGGATATTAGCCCTTTGTCAGATGGGTAGATTGCAAAATTTTTTTCCCATGCCGTTGGTTGCCAGTTCACTCTAATGACGGTTTCCTTTGCTGTACAGAAGCTCTGGAGTTTAATTAGGTCCCATTTGTCTATTTTGGCTTCCGTTGCCAATGCTTTTGGTGTTTTAGTCATGAAGTCCTTGTCCTGAATGGTTTTGCTTAAGTTTTCTTCTAGGGTTTTTAGGTGTTAGGTCTTATGTTTAAGTCTTTAATCTGTCTGCAGTTAATTTTAGTGTAAGGTGTCAGGAAGGGGTCCAGTTTCTGCTTTCTGCACACTACTAGCCAGTTTTCCCAACACCATTTATTAAACAGTAAATCATTTCCCCATTGCTTGCTTTTGTCAGGTTTGTCAAAAATCAGATGGTTGTAGATGTGTGGCATTGCCTCCAAGGCCTCTGTTCTGTTCTGTTGGTCTATATCTCTGTTTTGGTACCTTTACCATGCTGTTTTGATTACTGTAGCCTTGTAGTATAGTTTGAAATCAGGCAGTGTGATGCCTCGGGCTTTGTTCTTTTGCTTAGGATTGTCTTGGCTATGCGGGCTCTCTTTTACTTCCATACGAAGTTTAAGGTGGTTTTTTCCAGTTCTGTGAAGAAGGTCATTGGTAACTTGATGGGGATAGTGTTGAATCTATAAATTACTTTGGGCAGTATGGCCATTTTCAAGATATTGACTCTTCATAACCATGAGCATGGAATGTTCATCTGTTTGTGTCGTCTCTTATTTCCTTGATCAGTAATTTGTAGTTCTCCTTGAAGAGGTCCTTTACACCCTTTGTTAATTGTATTCCTAAGTATTTTATTCTCTTTGTAGCAATTGTGAATGGGAGTTTTCTCATGATTTGGCTCTCTGTTAGTCTGTTATTGGTGTATAGAAATGCTTGTGATTTCTGCATATTGATTTTGTATCCTGGGACTTTGCTGAAGTTGCTTATCAGTTTAAGGAGATTTTGGGCTGAGATGATGGAGTCTTCTAAATATACAATCAAGTTGTCTGCAAAGAGAGACAATTTGACTTCCTCTTTTCCTAATGGAATACGCTTTTTTTTTTTCTTGCCTAATTGCTCTGGCTAGAATTTCCAATACTATAAAGAATAGGAGTAGTGAAAGAGGGCATCCTTGTCTAGCACTGGATTTCAAAGGGAGTGCTTCCAG